AATGCTCCGTGAGCATCTGACCATTTCTTGCGGACATGTGACTCTCTGCTTTCCCAAATGCCATGTGGACCAGATACATCAGTGAACCAGGATTCAGCCTCCCAGCCTCACCTCTTTCTGGCCACCTGTCCCCACCTCCTCTGCTCTCAGATAATTTTTCTGTTCTCAAGCTCTCACTCACATATTGTCTAGTAGTGTTTCTTTCCTTTTTTTCCCCCAGAACCAAATTTAGGCCTCTTCAACTAGGGGGTGACAATGTGCAGGAGGTATCTTTTCTTTTCCTTTTGTACTGCTGTTCCACAACCACCCCCATCCCACAGGCCCCAGCACGGCAGGAGGGAAAGGAGGGGAAGGTGCAGGAAGGCAGAGGCAGGACAAGGAAGAGGAGAACCAGGGTCTGGGTGGGGAATGATCACAAAAGGGCAAAGTCAACAAAACCGACAACCCCAATTCTACCCATAAAACCTCTGCATCCCTCCAACAGAACGCAGAATCAAGCCTTTCTCCCCCCAGAGCCCCAATTATTGCCAAACATCTTCCCCCAAAGAAGCAGAGGCAAGTGAAGGGGAGAAACGAAAGGGTCCTTGCAGCCAATGGCTTTCCAAGCACGAGGCTTCCTTTCCAGCTCCCTGTGGCTGTGCAGGGGCTGGGAGCTTGGGGAGCCAGCCTGGGAGGACCTCGGGGCAAGACAGCATCTTGTCTGGCGGCTCCTGGTTACCGACAGGTTCTCCCTCTCAACCTGGAGCAACATATAAAGTTTGTTTTAGTTCATTAAAGGAGGTGTGTGTGTGTATGTGTCTGTCTATCTGTCCTCATCACCCATACTGATGACATTGAGAGAAAGTACAGAGATGCAGAGAGGCAAGCAAATGGGATGCAGTGAGTGGCTGTCCTGGAGACCTGAGGGGCTGTGTTGCTGAGGGAGAATAGAGGCCCTGGGGGCTCACTGTCCCCCTGTTTCCTACAGGGACCGCTTCCCCCCTCGCTTCCCCACCAAGCAGCCTTTTTGGCCAGACTGGGTCAGCGCCGTCCTGAATGGCCACTTTGCTCGCTGCCTGGGCTAGAGGTCATGATTAGTAATTGTATCTCTGCCGAAGAGGGTTCTGGCTGCCCGCCAGTCCCGGTTCCTGCCTTCCTCTGGCCTGCCCGGGAAACGTCACCATCAGCACAAACACTGCCTTCTCTTGGTGGGGCCACAGAGGGGAAAAGCCTGCAATGACCCTCTTTCAAAGCAGTGGAGCAAAGAAAGGGAGGGGGTTGGGAACAGAGACTGTGACCAGGGGCATTCCTGTGCCTTCTGACCCCCCGTCCTGCCCCTCACAGCCTCCCAGGACCCTGGGGAGTTACCTCAGGTCTCAGCCATCCAAGGGGACACAGCCAGGGCTCATTCAGAGCCCAGAGAGTGCCTTCTCTGGGAACCCACCCACCTCCAAAGCTCTCCCCTCACACAGGGAGGCCTGTTCCTTCTGGGAAACCGAATCGGTGAAGGGGCAGGCCCAGGCCCCTCCTCGTCACGCTTTCCTGGAGGAACTTCCGTGGGCATCTCTTCCCAGCAGCCTGGGCCGCAGCCTGAAGAAAGCACCATGCAGCCGAGCCTTTCCAGGAGCAGCTGCTGAGATGCTCAGAGGACGCGCCTCCTCCCACAGCCAGGGCACCCGGGCAGCACCGAGGACATCTTCCTGTCCCTCTGGCCTCCCTCTCAAAACAGCCACCTCAGCCATCCCCTCACAAACCAGAAAGTGTCCAGCCTTCTTTGAAAGGGACCCAGCTTCCTCGGGTCAAAGACTCTTCTCTGGTCACTGCAAAGGCCCTGAACCACCCCATCTCTCCTGCTGTTTCTCCACCCAGGGCTGGTGGCTGCGGCCCCAACAGAAACTTGTAACCAGACCCCTGAGCCCTGGCAATATTCAGGAACAGGCAGGGGAGACTCAACCCATTGACGAGTGCAGAGCCAACCTCTGACCGCAGACCCATTAGACCCAAGGGAACCAGCAGGGCCATGGGCTTGCGTAGGGAGAGTAGGAGCCTGAGGCAAAGAAAAGTACCTGTGGCTTCCCGCCCTCCTCCCCATTCCTCACCTGGTATCCAGATGAACCCGGGCTAATCGGAAAACCAGAAGCATCCTTTGGGGGTGGGAGTAAGATTCCAAAAAGGGAAGCACACAGCACAGGGAGGGAGGAAGAACCCCATCCACTTGGCCACGTCATGGGGAGGACTGGCCAGATTCTCCCTTCTCTTGGTGTCCCAGCTGCTGGCATCCTGGGCTTGGGGATCAGGTTGGGGGGCGCCTCCCAGGCCTGACCCCTCTGGAAGTGGTGCCAGGAAATTCTCTGCCTCCAGGGCTGCAGGCCTTGATCTAGCTCGTCTTTGGCTGCCACCTCTTTCCCCACCAGGCCCCCTCCTTCCACCCAGACTCAGCAGCTTACCTCGCCAAGTCAGAGGACACTTTTCCTGTGGGGGTGGGGAAACCCACAGGGATCAGCTGGGAGTCCCTCTGTACCTCCCACCCTAGCTGGGTGAGGGGAACCACTCCTGCCCGCTTTGCCCTCTGAAGCCCCCCAACCAACAGGGAGCCAGAGGCCAGGGGGCCTCAAAAAAAGGAGGAGCTGGCTTGGTGTCCTGAACTGACAAAGGCTGGGCCTTAGAGAGAAAAAAATTAAAAAACAAACAAACAAAAAAAAAAACAACCATGTTGCCAGGATCTCAGGCCTGAGGGAAAAAATGGGTTATGATAATTCTTCCTTCCCTTGCCCTGTAATTATTTAGATCTGGGACTCCTTCCTCAGTGGAAACCAGGTTTCTGGCCCCCTCCTCAAGTGACCTCCTCTCACCTTCATTTCACTTTGCCTTCATTTCACTTTGCCTGACGTGAAAAATCTTTGACCCGCCCACTCCTTCCTCAGGGCTGCCCCTTCCTCCCTCCCTCTCCAGAGATGTGACCCTATTACAGGTGACACTGACACCCAGCTCTGAAAAGCAGGCAGACGCAGTGGTCTGGGCATGCGCACTGGGAGTGTGAGCAGGGCCTTGGCCCAGGGAGCTGTAGTCTCCCTTGGGTAGGGACACAGTCACACCTGGCGGAGGGGCCACAGTGGGCAGCAGGGGAGAGTATGGGGGGAGAGGGTGGCGAGAGAGGAAGGGAGGCTGCTGTCCCAGGACCTGCATGCATGCTGAGAACCGCATGGAGGGCAGGGAAGACAATCCCCTGCGTTTCCCACCCACCCCCAACACATGGACTCAAAGAGGAAACTAGGGGTCCCTCTTCTCTGAGTCTTGAAGCCTGAGGTTGCCTGTAATCCTTCAAGAGCACAGGTCTGTCTCCTAAACTTGCCCCCGTAAGAAAAGTAATCATCATCATCTCATTTTTCTTCCTTAAAACATCTGAACTTTTTAAGGAAAGGGCCAAAAGGAATTGTACTGTGTTCAGAGCACAAAGACTAAGATGCACCAGGAGTGTAACTCTCCAGGGTATCATGAAACCATCACTATGAAACCCAAACCCTCCCCCAACCTCAAAATCTGTTATCTTCCCCAGCTCTGAAGGAATCTGGCCTCTCCCCCTCCCTTCCTCCGTGGTTCCAGACAGACTGAGCTGAGCCTGGGGAAGCAGCTGCTCTCCCAGGCTGCCAGGGCTTCCTACCTGGCCCCGGGGAAATGACAGGAGCAGGGGAGCCTTGGGACCTGCTGGCTCCTGCCTAGGGGCTCTGAGTCAGTGGGAGGTTGAGAAGGAAAGCCAGAAGGTAAATCTCCTAGCAGGAGCCTTGTCTCCAATTCCTCACCACGGTGCCTGCACTGGATTTGCTGCAGGACCCAAAAGCAATGTTCACAGGAAATGGAGGGTTTCAACTTCCGGCTTGGATCCTGCAGCCTCACCTCCTCTCTAGTTGGCGGGAGTCACAATATCAGGGTGAAACAGAACAAAGGCACCCTGGCTGTTCCCAGGATTTGAGGCAAGAGCATCATTATCTCCAGGTAAACCAAAGTTTTTAAGCGAATGTTACACTGAACCGAATTACAGCCCTCTCCAGAAGTTAGCACACCATTCTGGGCTGCACTGACCTTATAGATGGGAGTAGCTCAAGTATGCCCATTCTGAGGGTCCCAGCCCCAGGGTAAACCCCTCACTTTCCACCACAGCCCCATGCACAGCCACGGTTTTCTCGTCACAGCTTGACCTAGTGGTCCTGACCACAGGCAGCCTTGCCCTTAAAATAAAAATCCCCTCTGGACAAAATGGAGATTCCAAGGTGTCTAACCTTGGCTAACTCACATAAGAAAAAGGGTACAGAAATCATTTGGGGTCCCTCCCTGACAAGCCCCGCTCTCCAGTGACCAGTTATATAACATTATGATTCTTAAAACTCCCAGTGTCACCGTGGGACAAACAGGACAAGTCTTATCTCCATTTCACAGATGGGCACGCTGAGGCACAGAGATGTTAAGTGACTTGCCTCAGGTCACACAGCTGCTCAATTCAATGGCAGGGGCAAAAACCCTGACCATCCATGTGCACTCTGTGATTCTGGTTCATTCTCTGGGGCTCAAAGAAAGCAATTTGAAGTTGACCAGCACCTTTCTTTTTTCAATACAGAAAGTGACAATGTGACTTTGACTTTTGTTTGCTTGCAGGACCCTGCAACTGCAATCCCAGAAGCTGGCTTTGCTGTCCCCACTTTCCAGATGGGGAAACTGAGGTCTCCAAAGAGGAAGGGGTTGGGCCCATCCTGCAGGGAGTGAAACTAGGAAGGGAACTCTGGGCCTCCTCAATGTCTAGTCCAGAGACCAGCCACCCTCACCCCTGCAGGAGGTTACATCTCCCTCCTAGGTCTGAGAGACCCAATCTCACCCTCATGGCTTCTGTGGCAGCAGGTGTGGCTGGAGAGAGGAGAGGGCCACCCCATTATCTGCTTTGAGGTGGAGAACAGATCTGCACACACTCCAAAGAGGGTCTGTCACATGTAGGGCTATCGTTTTGGTTTCAGATTTGTACTTTTTTTTTAAACTTTTAAGCCATTTGTGGCTTTTGAGAACATTCTGATGACTTTTTTCCTAAAATTAAATCAAAGTGATTTTTCAAAACCAATAACCAGCCTTTGAGGACGCCCACTTTGGGCTCTGTGGGAGGACAGAGAGCCAGAGCAGTCAGGAGAGGAAATCTGCCCCTCTAACATGACCCTCCCCGGTAAACGGAAGACGTGACCACAGGGCAACTTCCCAAACCCTCCCTGGGCCTCCAGAATCCAAAGAGTTCAGCAACCAGCAGGGGGAAGGAAATAGCTTATGAGGAAGATGAAAATCCCATCTGGCTGGGCCCTTTAAAAATCTGGCTGGGCCCTTTAAAACAGATCATCATGCATGCTCGGAACTCCCTCGGAGGCCACAGGCCCCTGCAGGGGGGAGGGTGGCCCCCATCTCCCGCCACAGGTCACCCTGCAAAGGACTGAGGGAGACCGATAGGGCTCGGCTCCGCACCAGGCTGCCCCGGGTCCGCTGGCCGAGGGCAATTAGCCGGGGAGGAAGGTCTTGCCAAGTCGCGGCCGAGCGCAGCAGCCGGGCAGAAGCGGCCCCACCGGCCCGAGCCTCTGCGCCTCCAGGGGCTTCTTCAGGAGCCGAAGGACTAAAAATAACCCGGGCCTTTGTTGGAAGCCGGCGGACCACAGCGAAGGAGCTGATTTCAGGGAAGCCGAGCATGCGCGAGGGTCCCGCTCACCGAGACCTGCCCTTTGGGCAAATGATTTTTCCAGAAACGTGTCCGTTCTTGTGCTGCTGCTGTTGCCACTGCTGCGGTGATTCAAAGGCAGCCCGGTTCGCTCCAGCCCACGGGGCTGACTTCCAACACAGACTTCTCGGAATCTGAGCCTCCCCACTTCTGTCTTCTCGAAACGTTTTTTCAAAAAGAGAATCCAGCATGTATTGAGGAATTGAGGTGACAAGAGAAGTCTTCGAGCTGAAGGTTCTGCCTGCTTGTCACCCGGGTCACAAACAATCACATCACCCCAATTATTTGCTTAGGGAACAACCATCTCTCCCTCATCCTGGAATTTCCAGAATCAGGTCTCAGTGGACTACGGCAGACATAAGCTACGTGAAAGGAAGGAATTACGTGGGAAAAGGAATTGGTGTCACAGCAACACTGAAGGGTTTCTTGGACCTGCAGTCCTTGGTACCAGCATTCAGATTCTTGACCTGGCAGCCTTCACTCACCTTCCGGGTTCTTGAGTCCCACCAGGGAAAGCTCCAGAACCAGGCTGGGTGGAAGGTAGAGTCTTAGCCCTAGGCTGTGGCCTGTCTCTCCTCGAGGATGCCCCAGCTCTGAAGGTCTGGTCCTGCCAAAGCCACTTCCGATGGACAGCAAATACTGACTGGCTGTGGTGGGCCCTCAGAACTGTCTTCACAACATTTCCACCCACACCTCCGGGCTCCCCCACCCCAGCCCCATCAAGAGACCACCCTGGCTGTGGACGCCACGGGATATCTGCTGGGGGTCCGGAAAGCAGCTCTTCCTCTTCACAGAGACCAAGGAATGAGGAGGGATTTCAGGACTCCGTCATCTAGATGGCCTCCAGACTCCGAGTCTAGAAGTTCCCAGGGAGGCTTGTAATAAATAAAAACGTCTCCACAGCCTTTTCTTCCCCTGCTGAGTTCAAGATGAAGAGACCGAACTGGGGGCAGGGAGGCTGTGCAGATTTCTTGGAACACAATAGATAGAAAACACCAAACTACACGCGAAAGACTGATGGGTGCTCACAAAATGTGACCAGTGGCCGGAGCGCTGGGATAAACATGAAGGGGTTCCACAGGGCTGTGGCTGGGGCAGTTCTCCAAAAGTTTACCATCTTTCTGGCAGAAACAAGGAGGGGCTGGCAGAAGTACCAAAACCTGCATGTAGGAGGTACGTAGCTACCTTGCCCTCTTGGTTCCACGTGTCCACGCCCTCTGTGGTTCCTGATGTTCCTTACAGGCGGCCTGTCTGGATATATGAGAATAGGGGCTCGATCTGGTTTGAACTGGACTCTGGTTCAGCCTCTCCAACTCAAGTCACATCCTGTGACCTGGGGTCCTAGGCCTGGCAGCCGAAGGCTGAGGCTTTTTCTTTGAGTAGTTCCCAGCATAAGTGGCAGCTCCAGCTCCCTACGAGAAAGGAGATGGCATTACAAGCAGCCCCTCCCCCAACCCCCAAGCCCCATCCCGTGGCCCTCAACTTTTTGTAAGCCCTTTTTAATTTGGACTTTCACGATTCAGAGACTGAGTTCCGGTCCTGAAAACACACTGGAGTCTGTCGCTCAGCAGAGAGTAATGCTGCTCAGACAACAGGAAGTCTAGATGGCTGGAAGATGATTGGCTGAACTGTTGGAAAGACCCTCCCTCCCTGGTTGAGCCTCTTAACCAGCATCACCGGGTCTGGACCAGTTTCCCTGGAATCTCACACCTCCCTCAGCACCTCAGCCATATGTCTGGGTTAAGCCTCTCCTCGGCCCTCAAGATGAAATGTCAGCTGCTTGCACTGTGCCTCAGTTTCTTCACCTATGAAATGGTAGTCGTCATACCTACCTCGTAGGGTTATGGTGATTAATTGAGATTAGACATGTAAAGCCCTTAGCACAAGGCCTGCACCTTAGTGAGCGCTCAGTAAGTAGCAGTGGTAGCTGTTGTTATTGTCGGCCTCACCGTCATTACCTTCCGGGGGCTCAGCCACTGGGGGATTTAAACAGTACATGTGATAGCCGCGGTCACAGTCGTCGCAGAAGAGGAGCTGGTCCTGGTGGAATACAGGGCAGGTGGAAAGGAGGAAAGACTGGATTATTTAGAACCAACATCTGGCCCCCACCTATTCCTCTGGCCTTATTTCCATTGATCAACCTCTCTGGATGCTCCTTTCCAGGCCCCATTTGGAGTCCTTATCATCCCCTGATCAGGCCTTGCACTTTGCCCACACCTGGAATTTCCCCCTCTGTCTCCCGAACAATGCAAACTGTACCCCTACTTCAGGGTTCTGCTCAAATCATAGCTCCTCCAAGAAGCCCTCCTTGACCACCACCTCACAACCAAGCTTAAAAGGACTCCTAATTCTTCTGAACTCTCATAGCCAATAACTCTGCTTCTGTTAGGATGGAAAACCGGTTTCATGCATTTCTGTATCCCCGTGATGATTGCCTAGTGCGTAGAAAATACTTCAAATGTTTGCAAATTTTAATTGAATTTCCCTGAACCTCACTCTTTCTATTTGTGAAATGGACAACAACCATACTTGATGGTAACAGCCTGACACTTCAGAACCTTTTCAGGGTTTCATTATGTGACTGTAGAGAAATGTAAGCGATACGAGATCACCTTTCAGCTCCCAAAAGCTTCCTCATGGGCTAGAGTGCATCTGAGACAGGACCCTCCAGTGCTGTGGCTAACTTCCAAGGACATAGTTTGCACCTTTGCTCCTGCAGTTCCCTCTGCCTGGAGTCTCTCCCAGTCCCTGACCCCTTCACTTCTGGACCATTCCATACCTACCCTTCAAGTCTTCAAACACTTCTCTTCTACAAAGATTTCACTAATCCACCTCAAATGGAAGGTCTCTGTCCCCTCTTGCTTCCTCATAGTACTTCTCTTTCTTACGACACTTAATTGCACTTTCCTTTATGCTGCAAAGCCTGGCATGTGGTAGACATCACACACAGTCCATTTGGAAAATGCCTCTTTTGTCTGGTCCTTTTTTGGATTGCAGTGCCCTCGGGGTAGAAACTTGTCTTACTCATTTCCTCATCTCCTTCAGAATTTCCTCACACATAGTAGCTACTCAATAATTGTTTGTAATCTGGTCCCCATTCTCCAGGTTTAGCCCTGTTCTATTAGTGATCTTTGGACTCGCTTGGATGGCTTACAAGATGCCTGCAAAATTAAGTTTTGTATCAAATTTCACCTTGGCTCCTACCAGTGCAGAGATCCTGGAAAAAGTAGATATAGAAGTTGGAAACCCCCATGAGCAAGCAAAGAGGTAGGAGCGATCTTGAAAGACTTTTTTTTTTTAATCATATTAAGACCTTCCAGTGGGACAATGGGAAGCTTTCAGAATTAGCAACAGAGGAGTAACATGGTCAGACTTGTAATTTAGAAAAGTCTCACTAGCTACTGTGTAAGAACAGAGACTCAGGTGGAGAGAGACTGGTTCTTGAAACCAGAAGACCACTTAGGAGGCTACGATGGTCATTCAGGTAAGAGATAACTCATGATGGCGGGCAGAACTAGGGTTGTGGCGTGGGGGAAAGAAAAGGGGTTTGCTTTAGATGTAGAGAGTGATATCGGAAAAAATCAAGACTGTCTCCTGGGTTGTGGCTCAGTCAGCAAGCCAGATAATGTCACCACCCACTAAGACGTGGGCAGAGGAGCAGACCTGTGAGAAGCAGAAGGCCACCTCAGCTATAAATACATTCTGCAGATCTACGGATCCCCTTGTGAGGATGCCCTGGAGGCAGCTGGAGATCAGGAGAGAGGCCTGGACTTGAGATGTGGACTGGTGATTTGATGGCAGTGGAGGTCCTAGAGAGGAAGCCCAGAGTATGTGAGAGCTGATGCCTTTGAACTTGTACTCATGGAGAGGTGTTCATGAACTCTTTGAAATTATATACACAGCTTTATGTGTAAGTACAAACACACATTTTTCTGAGGAAAGGGTAAATCCATAGCTTTCATTGAATTTTCTCAAAAATCAAGGACTCAAAAAAGTTACTGAGGAGAAGACCAAGAACAGATGCATGGGGAACACTAAAGTTAAGGGACAGACAGACCAAAAAAAAGACTAGGAAGCAGCAGGTAGAAAGGTAGGATGAAAGCCAGGACAGTGTGTTTTATTCCAAAAGAGTCATACCATTATTGTTGGAGCTGAAGTGAGGTGATTTAGGGATAATGTGAGGAGAAACAAGTTAGAATAGGGACAGAAAACGGGGAGAGACTTGTCAGAAACAGTATTACTGATGTCACTGAGGACACTGATAACTCCTCCTCTAGTGATGACACAGAAAATACAGGAAGATAGAATATCTTAGATTGGATTTTTCCAAAGGGAAACCAAGGCATCTGTGGGTTTAAATGCATCTTTCATGGGTTGATCATTGTCTAGCTCCACTTTCTCTTCTTTTCCATTTACCTCTCAGGATAATTGCCTGCCTAAACCAGCAAGAACCCCCAGCTCATGCTGACTCCCATGAGAAACACAATTTGAGGATCTCTTACTCCCAAGTATTCAAGAACCAGGATTCACCTATGGCTGTAGTTCCCGTAGAGTGGGAATCCCATTCTGGGCTGCGTAGGGTAAATCCCTGGCTATGTGAGAGGAACCCTGTTGCCCAAACAGCTTCACTCCTTGATTCCTCCTCTAAGGCTCTGCCAAGTCAATGAAAAACTGCATTAACACTATTTATAAAGCCAAAGACCAGAATCAACCCAAATGTCCATCAATAAAGGACGGGTTGAATAAACTAATGAAGAACTGTGCAGCTGGAGGAAGCAATGAAGACGATGTCTATATAGTGCTGTGGACTAATCTCCAGGATATTCAGTGAAAAAGCAAAGTGAAGAAAACACATATGTCTTTTTACCATTTTCTAAGGAAATGAATCCATTGTCTCACAGATTCATGTGCGCATACACATGTTTGCATTTAAACAAAAATAGAAAGGTAAACCATATATTTTTTTAAATGGCCCTATAAGCAAAGTGTGAAAGAGGTAGGGATAGATTTCCTTGAATATACTGTTTATTTTATAGATTTGATTCTGGAACCAGTAAGTATTTTGCATGGTTATAAAGCAAAGTTCACATTGTAATTGTCACTAAGAAACCAAAGAAAAATGAAATAAATGAACCTGATTATGTGTAAGTTGGTGGCATAACCACACAGAAAGAAATTTTTCCAAGAGATTTTAAAACAAGTAGTTTGACTGTACATCCTAAGCTGAATATATCCTAAGGACAAAAATAAGTGCAAATATGCACATATATATACACACACATATATTTCTTTCCAGCAATCATATTGTTACCATTAATAGTGGAATTGATACTGGTTTTTGTGTGCATCAAATGAGTGATTAAATTAGTATTGAAAAGCAAAAATTCTGACATGGTTAAAAGAAAATACAGATGTAAGAATGATAAAGTTAAGTAAAAACCCTATAGTTAGTTCAGGGTATGAGCTGAAATATCAATATAAATTCACGGTGTATTTTATCTTTAAAACAACCAAAACATATTTTCTAGCTCTGTCCATTGAAAATGTCTCCAAACAGTGACTAATTCAGTAAAGATTACCCTCCCAGCACCCATATTATGTCCTCTAAAGACCATTGTCCACTAAAAGGAACCAGGAGTCCTTGGAGAAATGGCTGACTCCAAGTCTGGAATATGAAATGTCTAAGTATCTTTACATATTGGAAAGCAAGGAAATTATCAAATACTATTGAGGTCATGTCAAAAGGACTCAGGATCCAACCTGATTGTGCTCCCACTGCCCAAAGATGGGACAATTTTAACTGTAATGGATTGAGACAAATCAAGTATGTTTAAATCCTTGAGTTTATACATTTTTTTTAAACTGACACTTTTGTAGGACGCTAGGGAAACATCCTATCATTTTTTAATTGATTATATTGAAATAATTTTATCTTAGAGAAAAGTTGCAAAAATGGTACAGAATTTCTACACACTCTTTACTGAGCTTCCCCTAATATGAACATCTTATATTACCCTGGTACCATCATGAAAAACAAGAAGTCACCGTTACCATTAGCACGACACTACTGACTAACCTGCGGACCTCGCCTCATTTGAATTTTACCAGATTTCCCCAGGATTCAATCCAGGATCCTACACTGCAGTTAGTTGTCAGGTTTCCTTAGTGTCTTTGAATCCATAACAGTTTCTTGGTTTCTTTGTCTTTCATGATCCTGAGACTTTTGAAGAGACCAGGCCAGTGATTTTGTAGAATGTGACTCAGTGTGAGTTTGTCTGATCTTTCTTTCCACAAGAAGATTGAGGGTATGCATTTTTGGCAGTAATACTACAAAACAGATGTTATGCCTTCTCAGTGCATCGTACGAGGGGGCATGGATATCAATGTGTCATATTACTATAGTAGTAATGTTACTCTGATCATATAGTTAAAGTAGTGTAGTGTCTCCCAGTTTCTCCAGTGTAAAGTTATGATTTTTTCCCTTTGTAATATTTTAACAAATAATCTGGGGAGAGAGGATATGTTGAGGTCAAGCAAATATTCTATTTCTTACCATACTTTTGCCCACTAATGTTAATATCAAGTTGATGATTCTTACTTACAGTAACCATAATGATGATACTTGCCTATTGCTGATGTCCCTCTTCCTCTAAGGCTCTGCATTTAATAACTGAAATTCTGCTCTAAGGAAGAGTTCACCTCTTCTGCATTCAGTCATTCATTCTCTTATTCAATTTTTAACACATTAGTATGAACATTTATTTTGTTCTTTGGGCTATAATCCAATACTATAATTATTTACCTTGTTGCTCAATCTGTCCCAGATTGGCCACTAGGAGTTCCTTCAAGTTGGTTCTCTGCCCTTTAGAGATGCTCTATGATTTTTTTTTTTTTGCACTTCCTTACTTTCTAGTACCAGAGAATGCTCCAGCTTCCTCTTTTATTTTCCCAGCTCCAGCCCTGGCATCAGCCATTTCTCCAAGAATCCCTGGTTCCTTTTATTGGAGAATGGTATTTAGAAACCAATATTTGGGTGATATGAGTCCTCATTGCTTCTGGGTTGTCATTTCTTCTAGCTTCCTAACAGAGTTAGCAAATAAATGTACGTGTAGGTACACATGCACACATCTGTATTTATTTCTGACTATGCTGTACACCAGAAATTAACACAACATTGTAAATCAACTATACTTTAATATAAAAATAAATAAATTTCTGAATCTATCCATATGTGTGTATACATATAAATAGCTATAGATAAATAATATGTAACTACATATATACATAATACATTATATTTAAAAACATAAATTTCATACTGATACCCCCCATTCTAACCCAACACAGCAGAGTTCAGTCTAGCCTCCCCCCTTTATTTGATTATTCTTTCTTTAACATTGAGAAACCTGGCTTTCATTATTCACAATATACAGTTACCCAGAAACTGACTCACAGATATAGGAAACAAACTTATTACCAGTGGGGGAAAGTGGTAGGAAGGGATAAAACTGAGAGTTTGAGATTTGAAGATACTAACTACTGTATATAAAATAGATAAACAAGTTTCTACTGTATAGAACAGGGAGATTTAGTCAATATTTTATAGTAACATAATGAAAAAGAATATATGTATGTACATGTATACCTGAACTATTACACTGTGCACCAGAAATTGACACAACATTGTAAACTGACTATATTTCAATTTTGTAAAACTGAAAAAAACAACCAATATGCGGTTATCAGTTCAGACCTGCAGACACATGAAGTAGTTTCAGGATGACTAACTCACATGCCCGTGAAAAACAAATTTACTAGCTAGAGGATAATACTTGTATAGTTATTTCTGTCTTTAGCCTTAAAATACACAAATACTGCTTTCCTAAGTTACCTAGGTTAGTTCTTTCCTTCCCTACCTTTAAGTATGGTTATGTTACTATTTATACTACAGTCAAGTCCATTTTTGGTTCCCACACCCTGGTTGAATTTCTGTATTTATCTATTGGCAGGCATGTAAAATGACATCTTGGTTCTAAGAGTCAGAGCTGCACAAAAAGGCGTTTTCAGAGAAGTGTCACCCCTCCTCCACCCATCCCTACTATCCAACCCCTTTCCCCATTCTTTGTACCCCATTCCTACCCACCCTGTAGATAACTAAGCTCTTTAGTTTCTTGTTTATCTTTCCTGTGTTTCTTTTACACAAGTAAACAGACATATGTCTATTTTCTTATGCCTGTCTTATAAGAATGGCAGCATACTATAGATACAGATACTGTTTTTACTTTGCTTTTGTTTTTATTGAACAAATTCTCCTGGAAATCTCTCCATATTAATTCATAAAGATCTACCTCCTGGTTTTGTTGTTGTTGTTTTATAGCTGCATAAAACTTCCTTGTGCCCTTACTTATTCAGCCACTCTGTGTATGAGCATTTAGGTCATTTCCAGCATTTTGCAATTATCAACAGTGTGACCTTAAGTAACCTCATGCATACGTATTTTCATAGTGGTGTGGGTATATCTTTAGGGTTGATTCCTATAGGTGAGGTAGATGAGTCAAAATGTAAGTGCACAGTAGTTGTGCTAGGTATTGCTCAATTTCCCTGCAGGAGGGTTGTACTATCTTGTGATCCCACTGACAGTGTATAAGGGTGCCAGCTTTCCCACAGCTTCATCCATAGGATGCACTGTCACCTTCCCCCCACCCCCAATTTTATGGGTAAAAAGTGATATCTCAATTTTGTTTAAATTTGAATTTAATTGTGAGTTTAAACATCTTTTTCCCAAATGTTTAAGGGTTATTTTTATATCTTTTGTGAACTGTTTTTCACATCCTTTTCCCGTTTGCTATCAGGTTTATGGTCCCTTGTCCCTCAGATTTTAAGAGTGCTTTATATATTATACATTACCACCTTAATCTGCACATATACTGCACTGTGTGTGCTGCAAGTATTTTCTCCTGTCAGCTGTCTTTTGACTTTATTGGGTTTTTTACTATACAAATGTTTACATGGTCAGATTTGTCACTATTTTCTTTTGCTGCTTCTGAATTTTAAGTCACAGAAAATCTTTCCTTACATTTAATTTAAAGAGGAAGTCACCCATGTGTTCTTCTAGTGCTAATATGGTTTTATTTTTTATATTTATAACCCCAGTCCATTTGATGACTGTTCTGATATAGTACATGAGATATGGACCTAATTTTACCTTTTCCCAAATGGTCACCCTACTGTCCCAGCACTGATCATGAAAATGTCCATCTTTGGTCCAGTAATTTTAAATGCAACCTTTATTTTATGCTAAATGTCTACATGTCACTGGGTCAATTTACGGGTTTTCTATTCCATTCCATTGGTCTCTGTGTCTATACTGTTTTAATTTAAGAGGCTTTATAGTATGTTTTAACATCTGGTAGGGCTAGACTTCCTTCATAATTTGTTGTTTTTCAGTGTTTTCTTAACTATTCTTTCATATTTGTTTTTCCATATGAACTTGTTTAGTTCCATATCAACTTGCTTAGTTCCATTCAAAAGTGTGTTGGTATTTTTATTGAGTTCAAATCAAATGTGTAAATTAACTTAGGAAGAACTGATCTTTACAATGTTGAGTCATTCTATCTAGATCACACTGTCTTTCCATTTGCTCAAATATATTTCTGTCTTTTCAAAAGCACTTAAAATTTTTCTTCATATAGGTTTTACATATTTACTGTTCAGCTTATTTCTAAGTTTTTCTTATTTGTTGCTATTGTAAGTGGAGTTTCTCTACCACAATGTCATCTAACTGGTTATTATTTGTGCATATGAAGGCTATTAAGTTTTGTGTGGTAATTTTATATCCTGCTACCTTTAATGTTTGAGTTAGTTTTACTATTGATTCTCTAGAGTTCCCCAGATATACTATTAAAGTTTATGAAATAGAGAAAAAATTTCTTTGTTACCATTCTTATACTTCTCATCGCTTTCTCTTGTCTAATTGCATTAGCTAATGTCTCTAGAATAATGACAAATAGTAATAGAAATTGCGGGCATCCTTACTTGGTTCCTGATCTTACTAGAGATGCCTTTAGTATTTCCCCATTAAATAAGATAATGGCTTTAGTTCTCAGGTATAAAGAGTTTATCGTGTTAAGAATGTATCCCACAATTTCTATTTTCTTGAGTGTTTTGATTATAAATAGGTGTTGAATCCACCCCCCTTATTTTGAAAACTGATAAATAAAGGGAAAGAATCAAGTATTTATTCTGCCTTTTGTACATAATCTATACTGAGGGTAACTAAATACAAGGCTGGAAATTTTTCTCTTTTTAGAACTACTCCAACTAATAAAGAAGAAATTATAGAATATCACTATTTGCAACCCCTAATAAAGTAGTCTGTAGTCAAAGATCTCTAACAGCTGCTACCTTCACCAAAAGAGACACCATGTATTAATACCTCCTGATAAAGTATACACCACTATTTATGAAGTAGTCTTGCTATTTCTATATACATTAGAGACAGAGAGAGAAAGAGACAGAGAAAGAGAGAATCTGGATCTGATCAAACCTCCAGTTCCAAGCACCAATGTGCAAGAAATACAGGAGACAGAAGAAAATGTCAAATACTGCTGCCACAGGGATGCAGTCAGTAAAATACAGTCATGGGAAACTCTATTGAACAAATAAATTGATTTCTTCAACAAAAAATCAAGGAGCAAAAAAGAGAGCAAAATAGAGGGAAACCCTATATATTAAAAGAAACTTTAAAGACAACTAACTGCAATCTTTGGACGTTAGTTGAATCCCAATTTAAATAAACACTGTGATGAAAACTTTTAAATCAGTTTAAGGTAATTAAGACAAATGTTTAAGACAATTGAGGCAATAGGAATGTTGACTGGATATTTGATTCTATTAAGGACTTACTGATTTTTTTAAATCTATGTTAATATTTTTGTTTAAAAGTAAGTCCTTATATTTTTGAGATACATATGAAATATTTATAGGCGAAATGATATTATGACCAGGATTATAATATTGTGGAGAAAGAGGTGGCAATATTTATGAAACAAGATTGGATATGTATTGATCATTTTTGAAACTGGTGATGGGATACATCAGTTTCATTATTTTCTCTATCTTTGTATATATCTGAAATGTTGGTAACAAAAAGTAGGATTTTTAAAATTCTGCATTTATTACACTTAACATTTAGACCAAGTGAGATGACACCTTCTAGAATGTGGTGTAAAGAGCCACATATATGCCCAACTACACCCAACTATAAGCAGTGGGCACCATTATCTGTCACTGAACCCTCCAGGACCATGGCCAGCAAGGCAGCCTCTGGCCATCACCTACTGTACCGGTCTCCATAGACACACAGAGAACCCAAGATCCCTGTAGTGCAAGGGTCCCAAAGGTCCTGGGGGCAATAGGAAAGGGGGAGGTCCTAGACATTTTCCCCAGGAGCCCAGTGATCAGAGTCTTGCCGTTCTCTCCAACCCTCAGAGGACTCTCAGCTCCTTGGATTTCTCCCTCCCGTGCAGGAAACACACACTCACATCATTCTCCGAGGTCCCACAGAGGATGCAGGATTTGCACTCTATGCACTGCCACTTGTAGGTCTTCACAGCCTCAGTCATGTTCAGGGTGAACTGCAGGCAGGTGGGGTGACCTGGAGGAAGCAGAAGTGGCAGCATTAGGGCCAGAGGGTCCTACCTGTCACCCCTCAACACCACAGCATTATGCCCAACTTGGAGAGAGGGTGGGGTAGCACAGGCTGGGAAGCAAACCGGGGACGTGGGTGGAGCCCTACCCACCCTCCTCACCACCACCCACAGTCACATGAGCTCAAGGGCCAAAGAGAGAAACGGGCACTACCCTTTTGCTGGGACTAGAGATCACCCAAATCCTCTCGCCCTACGAGCTAGGTGTAGATGTACAACCAGTTGATGAGGACAGAAAGTGGTGATCAAAGGGAAAGAGAAAGGAAATCGCACAGCACAAGGCAGCAGCGTGAGAGTCACCAGCATCATCTCCCCAGCTCCAGCATCAGTTGTGGCGGCAGCAACATATAAGAGCTACTTGGGGCTGGGCCTTCTAACCTGCAAAGATGTTCGTGCTGCCTCAGGGCACGGGGAGGAGGTCAGAGGGAGCGGGTGAAGTTCCCAGGGACAGAGCTCAGAAGCACTGGGAGGCACTGCACTGCTATCTCAAGTGCCGTGCCCACGCCCAGGAGACTAGCAGAAGCCCACGCCCTGCCCAGGAACAGGGCCTGTGGGGGGAGGGCGGAGAAGTGGTGCGTCACTGCAGTGGGCACACAACGGTCAGGTCAATCCTGAAAGGACTGGTCACTGGCTCTCACTCTTCTCTCCATCCCAAGTATCACGTTAGCCAAGCCAGCAGCAAAATGGGGAGGGACATCAATGTGACCTTCGAGCACACAGCCCCAGCAGACTAATATCTGAGGCTCAGCCTGCAGAGCTGGGCTCTGCTCTCAGTCATACCTCCCGCAAAAGACAGACGCCGGCAGCGAGAGGACAACTCTGAGCCACAGAACGTGAAGACCTTGACCTTGTATTTGACATGGAAGGGAAACTGGGATCATGTCCCCAGCTTTCCCAGGGCTGTGAATCAGACCGGAATCCACCCAGAGAGCCCAGGGAAAGCCCATTACTGACTCTCACAAAGAACTGACGGTTTCATGCATTGCTGGGGTTTGGTTCACCCATCTCCAGAGCTCCCAACTCTGCCAAATCCACTCTATCACGCATCGTGTTGCCTCTTTCACATGAGGGATTGTGTGCTTCTAAAGAGGGATGCTATAGACAGAGGCATCAGTTAGCGGCAGCTCCCCCAACCCAGTGTCCTCCACCAATAGTCAAGACCCCACCTGGTACCACCCCTCCTTGGCAAAGGCACAGCCCAGCAGGAGACCCTCATTTCCTCTCCTCCAGATTCTCACGGAGCTGGTTACATCATGGTCCTTTGGGAGAGATACTGTCTATTCAGTCAGCATAAGGCCCCCTTCAGATCTGGAGCCCCACAAACACCAAGCACACTGAATTACCTCTGAGGGTGGGAGTGATGGTGGAAATGACTTGTGGTGAAGGGAGGTGGAGACACTTAGCAAATAGCAGGTGGAAGTGCTAAGGAGAGGACTGATCTAAAAGATTTTCTAGGACTTCTTAAGCACCCAATTGAGGACCCCCCAACACACACAGCTCTGAACTGATAACCGTCTCAACGTGACACCATGTCACTGACCCTGGACAGAAAGAATCCTTCCATGAAAGGCCTGGATGAACATTCTGCTGACTGACATTCCTGAAAGCATCTCAAAGATCTGTCTAAGTAGAACACTGGCCAGGGTTGTTCCCTATTCCAATCTCTCACAGAAAATAGTGGGATGGGAACAGGAGAAGAAATACCAGTTTGAGATTCTGAGTGGCCTGGGTCATAGATGCCCAGGTTTGCAGACAGGACATCTGGGAAGGATGAAGATGAATTTACGGAGCAGATACCCAGATCAGCAGGTGGTTGCTGCCCAGTTCCATGGCCTCAGGGCACCCTCAGCCACAACCAGCCAGCTTACAGTAACCGCTCCCGAACAAGCGTTGACTGAGCACCTGCTCAGCCAGCTGTTGCACCAGACAGAAAAGACACAGTGCTGGGCACGAATCCCCAGATCCCTCTAGTCTGGTCAGAGGGAACGCCAGTTAAAAAACGATACACATATCTCTTTTCTTACAACTGTGTTGTACGTGCCAGGAAGGAAAATCATGACTGGAGATGAAAAAAATCACAGGAGAATCGAATCTAGCCTGAGATGTCAAGGAAATCTTCTCTGAGACAGATCTTTACACTGATATCTGGCAGATGAGGAGGAGTTAGCTGGGTGGGAGGGGGAGCGGATTCCACGTGAGGAGAACGGCACGTGTAACGGCTCTGAGCAGCGGGGAGCTCGCACATTCAAAGGAAGGGAAAGGCCAGTGAGCAGAGGCTTGGCGGGCAGAAGGAGAAGGGCAAGAAGCACCTGGCTCTCCAGTAGTTAGAGCCAGAACACACGAGCACTTGTGGCCCTTATTCAAGGATTTGGGGCTCTAAAATCATTGAAGGATTTTAAGCAACGCAGTGACTGGATTACACTGTGATTTTTTTTTTAACATGTCAACATGATGATTTAACATCAGTATATATTGCAAAATGATTACCACAATAAGATTACTTAACACATCCATCAATCCCTGGATTGTTACATTGTGTTTTTAAAGGACCATCGCTTCAGCACAAGGGATCTTCAGGGTAGTGAAGCAGTTCTGAACCTTGATCACGGTGGTGGTTACGTACATGATAAGGCTGCATAGAACTACAAATACACACGCATACACACATGTGTGTGTGCATGTGAAGCCAATGACATATGCATTGGGTCTGTGATTGCATCGATGACAATTGCCTGGTTTTGATAGGATACTATGGTTATGTAAGATGTTACTACCATTGGGGGGAAACTGAGTGAAGGGTGCATGGGACCTCTCAGTAATATATTTTGCAAGTTTATGTGAAGCTATAATTATTTCAAAAGAAAAAGTTGAAAAGATCTTTTTAAATAAGGAAAACACAAATAAAAATTTAAATCAACAAAAAGGAGGGAAGGAAAGGAAGGGAGGGAAGGAAAGGAGCTGCTGTCTAGGGAAAGAATTGGGGTGAGCAGTGCAGGGGGACGTGGGGAGGGTAAGGGGGTGCAGAGACATAAGAATTGTTGCCAGGAAACTAGTTTGGAGGCAGATGCTGCTGCCAGGAGAGAGACAAGGATGATGAAACTAAGGTGGAGATTTAAGAAATATTAAAGAAATCATTGACAGGACTTGACCATTATTTGAACATTGGGCGTGTGGGAAAGAGAGATGATGAGAAATATTCTCAATATCCTGACCAAAGACACAAGGCAGGTGGCAGTGAAACGTACTCCGGTGAGGAAGGCTATAGAAAGCATATAGGGACCAAATGGGGAGGGGAGCTGGCTTCGCTCTGTTTCGAGCATGTTGAATTTGAAAGTCTGTGAGAGTTTGGGTGGAAATGTCAAGTGGATGGTTGAATATATGGGTTTAGAGCCCAAAAGAGAAGTACAGACTAGACATGTAAATTTAGGAGTTTTTTCTTAATAGATGGTCATTGAGAATTCATGAAATTACCTAGGAAAAGGGAAAAAAGAGAAAGGAAGAGGAGAAAAGAGAGAAACGGTCTAAGATTAGACTTTGAGGAACTCAACTATTTGAAGATAAAAAGAAAGAACCAACAGATGAAAGTTGAAAGGACGGCCAGAGAGAGGTAAGATGCAAACTGGGCAAGTATGGGTCACAGTGGCCAAGAGGAGAGCTTTCAAGAGGGAGAGGGTGGAGGAGGGGCTTCAAGATGGTGGAATAGAAGGACGCAGAGCTCACCCTCTCCCACAGATACATCAGGGAGAGGGCGGTCAGCTGTGTTGACCACCACAGGTGCTTGAGTTTGTCATTGCTCAATAAGGACCCCGAGTGAGGGCATGTTGACAGAGCAGAGCCGAAGCTGCCCTACTAATAGTGACGCCCTTCATCAATGTCATCTTCCCTGGGAAGGAGGGTCAGCAGATTCCAGAACATGACATGGACTCCGCAGCCAGCTGTGCATCTGGAGCTGCCTCCAGGATGGGCGTGAGGGGTGATGTGTATGCTTCGTTCATTCAACCACACTCCACAAATATTTCCTGAGCACCTGCTCTCTGTTCAAGACCTCTCTGACCACCATGCTGAGCTCTGAAGACATTTTCTGGGATAGCTTTGGATCAGTGAACAGAAGCAAGTAGGCTTGGGAAACTCCTATTGGAAGTCTCTCAAAAAAACCTCATGGGGTTCTCTCTGTTCGTGTCTTCAGAAAGACCTTCAAAGGCAAAGAAAGGGAATGAAGCTCACAAGGCCTCCACCTCCGGTAAAATTCAGGATTAAAATTCAGATTAGCCTCAGCTCTGGATGCAGAGCTCCTTCAGCTTGGAACTCAGACATCATTCAAATGGGAGAAGAAAGGAGGTGATGCAACTTCTCAGCCAGGGAGGGTGAGACACAGAGAGGTAAGTCACCCAAGCTGCCATTAGCAGATGCAGAAACTCTGCCCAGAACCAAGTCCTCCTTTCTGTGCCACCACAACAAGGCACCCGTCTGCTGCCTGCCTCTACAGACGGAAGTCATTCCCCAGATAAAACTATAAAGATAAGATTTCTTATCTATCCATGGAAATGACTGAAATAACGCCACTGTTGGACAAAGAAAAAGCTTCCAAGGAAAGTGCCAGAGGCCCATATCTAAGTTTTACTGCTAGAACTAGAACTTATTTTTGCCCCGAACTAATTTCTAAAATCCTTGGAAGTAAATGGATAATAGTCCTTCCAATTCAGCAATGGTAGAAAATAAAGAGGCACATTGGCAGTTCAGTGATATATTCACGGTCACTCACTACAGAAAGATTCTTGCCTTAATCTCTTTTGTAAAGTTAACCATTATTCTCTACAGTGCTTGCTTGGAAATCTAGATATTCCATATTTCCAGTTTTTTCTTTTTTTAAAGCAAAGGGTGTGTGTATTGCTATTTAAATAGCCCAATGGAATGAAGGGGAAACAACCCTTCCCAGACCCCTGGGGTG